CCAGAGATGACCATTTATTAGGGTGGCTGATGTCTCAGCTTTGGGAGTTGTTCCTTATCAGGAAGCTCTATCAGCTAGAAAAACTCCTTAAATATGAACCAAATGGAACGGCCTCTCTGTGTCCAGCACCACTGAGATGAAGGAGAGAGGGACTGGCAAGGGAGCAGCAAACTTAATTCCTGTATTTTTAATAAGCCTTTCCGCTACACACAAAAGAAAAAATATCAGACAAAAATACCTTAGTTAGTGAGATCCAGGGTATATATTCACCTGTTACTTGTTTAACTTGAAGTTTTTAAACAAAAATAATTAAGTGAGTTGTATGCCCTGCCTGTCTGAGCTGTTATAAGCTTGGTGCAAAACCCCTGGACAGGGTATTTGGACACCAGTAGGTGAAGGGCCATTGAAGTAGAGTACTTTTACTGTGTGTATTTTTCTTTTGGCTTCTAAACTTTTGGATCTTCATAGACAAAGAAAATTAATTAAATTAAGTTGATCAGTAATTCAGTTTTTAAAACCTATTGTTTATGATTGCATATACTAGTGCTTTACTTCAGGTGTGACTGTCTGTTGTTGCTGTGACTTCTTATTGCTGCCTGTAGAAAGGAGACCCCGGTAAGTATGGAGTTAGTTCTGTCTTGGAGCCCAAAGAATTATGGACGTTAGTCATGCTCATTTCCGGAATGATTGTGACTTCTCCATTTTTTTTGTGGATCAGGAAATTACTCTGTACAGAGTCATGTCTGAGTGGTTTTAATTACATCATAAATATATAAACACAGAGTGAAGAACAATGAACTCCAGCAGTGTGTTCTACAGAGCTGTGTGTGTCAGAGCAATCACTAGCTTTCTTATCTTAATCTGTCTGAGTACTTGGCTCATAAAGAGCTTTAGAACAGGGCTGTCTCCAGAAAAAGGGAAATGAAATTGTTGGACATTTCCACAGGGTCAGTTGTGTCTGCAGGGAGAGGAAGTTATCACAAACATGGCACCTCTGGGGAAGATAATTTGTATCTAGAACAGTAATATAATATAATTGGCCTTTGGTCATTTCACATCAGGTAGCTCTATTTCAAGGTATGGTATCAAGGTAATCAAATTGGTGATTTAGCTCACACAGCTTTGCAAAGTCCTTTCTGGCTATTTGTCCAACTTGTCCTTGAAGTCTTTCTTTGTTCTGTGCCTGTTTGTTGTGTTTTGGAACATTCTGGATGTGGGAGATGAATATATTGCAAATAATATAACTTAACCTAATACAAAGTAAGACATGAAGGACATAAATTGCATTCTATGCACATCACATTGCAGATACATGCTGACTGTTGATGAAACTACAGTCAGAAAATAAACTGGCTGCAGCTAAAGCATTGTTAATTTTATTCCTGCCAATGCAATCAAAACTGAAATATTATTTCATAGAAAACAATATTTTATTAAATGCATCAGCAAAACAATAATGTAGAATTGAACTCTGGATGTCAGGTGGTAATGCAGAGTAGAATTAATTACTATTTTAATGGGATTCAGAGACAAAAAGAGAAGATATCTCCCACAAAAACCTGAAGGTTTTCAAAATCATATCCACACATAATGTCCCTAAATAATGTGGTTAGCTGCACGTTTTTCTGGTTCACATTTTCATTAAAAATTCCAAAAGCTGCATTCTATCTATGAATGTTTCCACCTTGGTCTTCTTCAGTGTAATATTGCCTAATAGATTACGTGGTCTTGACTGTGGTGAAATTATGTGATTTAAGGCACTAACGGAAAGTAATTAATTTTATATTACATTCCATCACAACAGTTCACTTTAGATGCTAGTGGGCTTTGAATGAATATACAGCTTAAACTCTAAAAAACTGCTTCTGAGCTCATACAGCCATCTGTTTGAGACTTTGTGTTGATGTAAAATCTTTAGCTGCTGGCTACTGGATTCTTCAATGTTTTGTGTATTCTCCAGCTGTGACGATAAATAAAATAATATGCAAAAACCTACTTTAAAAAAGTCAACAAAATGTTTAATATTACAGCATCAGAAACAACTTGCTGTTTCCATTGTTTTTGACATGATGAAATATGTTGAATCTTCCTGGTCCTGTGGGGCTGTCCGCTGTATGTGGAGGTGTGTGTTAATAATATGTCTGTTCTTTTTGAATTTCCAGGCCTATTCAGTATATGATGAAGACATTGGCTACTGTCAAGGACAGTCCTTCCTGGCTGCTGTGCTGCTGCTTCATGTAAGTAGGCGTGTACCTCTTTAAGCACAGCTAATTGTGCTTCCTTCATGCCTGTGTAACATAGTAAAGAGTATGTCCATGTGGTGAAATTGACTGGTAAAACATGCTGAATCAAGGCTGAATTTTCTGTTCACTAACTGCCATTTTATTTTTGAAAACCTGAAATGAAATTAAGTGCTTCTTATTTTTTGGAAGAACATATGTGTCTTCTGACAAATATTACCACACTGTAGTTTTACACTACACTGTATTTACATCTGTACACATGGGATACATAGAATCATGCACAACGTGGGTTTTGACCTTATGAAGGCCAGAGTAAATCCTTTTCCTTCCATTCTGAAACAGAAAATATTGTGTTATAAACAATTTTCATATCAATATATCTGCAATTGCTGCCTGAAGAGTATTTCACTTTATCAGCCTTATAATGATCAAACCACTTGTTGTCCTGATGGGTTCCGCTTGTTTCTCATTGAAAAAAAAAACATAAACAGATTTTATTTTGAGTAAAAAATGAAAATTCATTCAGCAAATCTATTTTACTTAACATTTTTAATATCAAGCTGGATTTGAATTGTCTCTTGTCAGGTAGATAATGTTAAGTAGAATATAATATAAAATATGGTAGCTTCTCATATTCCAAGTGTTGTCCCATCCTGTAGAAAGAGAATGTAGGAGGAGTTAAGACAGTTCTGAAGAGAGTTCACTTCCCCATTTCCCTGGATTTCTCCCATATGGTTGTTTGTACTCCTATATGCAGGTTAAGGATCCGATAAGTTTCATGCACACATGTTGCCTGAAATGTAATGTGAATGTACCTTTGGAAAACAGGTATAAGTATGTCAATCAGTAAAACTCTATTTTTAAGTCCATACATGGTCATCATCCTAAGGTATTGCACACCATTAGTTTGGGTAATTGATGTTATACAGCAGAAATAGGTAAAACTGGTGCCTAATTTTTCTTTAAGCTCATTTTCGGTTGTTTAAATTACTTAAACAACCAGTAGGATAGTTGTGGCAGTAGGATAAATTAACTAGAAATGTTCTAGGTGACACACATTAGTTAACTATAACCTACAGTACATATGTGTAATATTTCAAGATTATCCATGAAACACCTCCTCCTTGTGACAATATACAGTATTGCATTCATGTCATGGTACCATTAATGATAATTTTCAACTAAAGCAACTGTTTTTTAGTAAATTTGTTTAAAAGAATACACAGATGTTCTTGTTAAGACGTCCCGAAAACATAATCAGCCATTTTTGTCATTCACCTTTCACATTTTAAAAAGTATTGATTGAATTATAGCTTCGATATTGATTTATTGGGTTAAATGCAGCCTCCTCTCTGTTAAGGATCACGGTTCTAAAAGTTCATTCAAAGTGGCACAGTGATTGGTGGAGAAAATCGAAAAAAATAAAATATAAAATGCCAACGAAACCACATAACCAATCAGCCATATTAACTTGTGAAAAACATTTGTGTTATTCTTCAAGTGCTCTGACTCTTCAGAGGTTTATTCCAGTTTACATTACATATACACAAGCTACCCGAGGAGATGGCATGTAAGTGTTCTACATCCCAGCCAACATGGCCAACATATCATGTGACCTGTACATTTTTCCTTTTATAAAATCAGTTGTGCACAAGGGACCCCCGACCCCCTCTCCGACGGCAGGCGGAGCGATGTGCCGGTTGGAGAATTCTCAGTCGCATTTAATGGCAATGTCAGCTCAAAGATTTGGTTCAAACCACCAAATGGAGAAGGGCATTCCAACAAGCGGACCCTGCTGATGCGGGATTAACGCTAGTATGAGAGAGAGTTGTGCACAAGGGACAACTACTGAATATGCAAAACAATTAACAGGTTTTCCTATTTACTAAATTATTATTGTTGTAACAGACAAATACGTTCTGGATCCCAAAATGAAGTTTAAACAGCTGAGTTTTATTGCATACAAGGAACAATAAGACCAAAGTATTGTTCATAATACAGGTACAAAACTTCCAGTTTATATAGCACTTTTCGACCACTTCTGACGTAGTTCGTTTCCATGGTAATGGGAAGAGGTCACGGTGTTCGGACAATCCCCAGACTTTGACCACTCTTGATGGTTGGTTTTAGGTTTCTTTCATTGCGGGGGGTTCCTAGCTGGTATCTGGAATCCTTATCAGGTATCCCCTTTCCTGCCATAACTCTAAGCCTGGAATGTCTTGTGTCACAAGAAGTCCAGTCCTTGTGCAGAAAGGAATCAGTTAACCCCTTCTACATATCTTATATCTTTCTTCATTATAAAGTGATAATCTTTAAAAAGTAAACAGGAAACCTAAATAATGTACAGTAAAGTAAAAAGTCCCGCAATAGAATGTCATGAATCTAAGCCTACTATATAATATATACGGCATATGATGTGTCTAATCATATAATTAGTATAACTGTTTCAAATTTATTGGCTTTCTCAGAGACTTGAGTGAATTAAGTTTGTCTCTGAAACCCTCTAGCTCCTAAGTTGTAATTGGTAGGTGTCTTAATGTGTTGATGTTCATTTGTTATGAAAACCATCAACCTGTTTTTTAGCCTGCTCTTCACTTGGTAGGTGAGGAAGCAGATGAGTGGGGAATGAGGCAATCAGAGTCTTCAGCATGCAGCAGGCATGCCAGGTGTCAACAGTATTAATGGATTGACTTCTCTACTTGTAGGAGCTGTATCAGTGCAGGAGACAGTTGCAAACACACAGTGATTAAATTCCCACCTCACCTGCTCTAAAAGGAAGGATTCTTCTCGTGGTCTAGCCATGTGATAGCAACAGCATTGCACAACTCCCTGCACGAGGCCAGGGAGAAAGAGCTGATCAGATGGACAGATGCAAATGAGTTTACTTATGAAAATTCTGGAAATAGAACACCACTTTACCTTTGCGTGGTGTTACAGATTCTTTTCAATTCAACCAATAAATTGAGTATTAGATAGTTCAGCAAATTTCTTAACCTTATACATAATTGTTCCTAGAAGTGCCTGGCCTCTTTCTAATGATATGGACCGGAAAAATAGAACAACATTGATTAACACAGGTACAGTCTTAAGAAGTCCAGGTCCATTCTCAAGGACCCCAGTCACAAACTGTTATCTCCTACTGTCCGTAAACAGTACCAAAACATTCGGTCAAGTCCAACAGATTACAGAACAGCTTCTACCTCCAGGCAATAAGACTGCTAAAAAGCCAACGTGCAGCTCCTTTAGCAAATCACCCGTAATTGCTACATGGACATACAGTTTTCACTGTGCACTACTTGGACATTATATATTGCATACACCAGAACATTGCTAGCAACTACTGCTGCATGCTATATTGTTGTCCATTAGATAAATTGATTGATTGATTGATTGATTGATTGATTGATTGATTGACAAGATAAAAGCTCCAGTGTGTCGGTGTTTCAACATGACATAGATCAAATTTTAAATCTTGATATGCTGGTATTAATTAAATACTCGACATAGTAAAGTAATTTATTATGGGTATCATGGGTGAATGGAGTATTTTACAACCACAAGGGCCTAGGATTCTACACTTATAAAGAAAACTATAGTCGCTACCCACATCTATGTGCATGATGTGCGGTAACAGCTAAGCTGTTGGCTCTAGAATTGTGATGCTGCTCTGTTGCGAACTTAGTGACAGGCCAGAGAAATGTGGGAGAACAGACATTTTAAATATACAGTATACAAAATGTCTCAATGACTTTACAGAAACTATAATCTTGTTAGTGAATACATTATTTTATTATTATTGCTGTTGTTATTACTGCTATATTAATAAAGATTAAATAAAGGTTCATACATTTAAAAATGTAAACTCCCATGGTAACTATTGCTAAAAAATCTAACAATAGATTTTTAAAAGTTGTTAGGCCTGTGAGGGAGCATACTTTTCTCTAGTTTGTAGTAGAATTCCTTTAAGTAAGGAACCTTGCTGGAGACTGTGAATCAGTTTAGCTCAGGGAGTATGTTATTGTGGTTATTGTGGTGCAGTGTGAAATGTGGGACAAAAAGCATTCAATTACTTAACATTGCTGATATCCCAGAAATGCACAAAACCTGTGTTGCCTTACAGTACTGTTATGACTTTTATGATGAAGTAGAATGCTTTTTAATAGAAATATTATATTTTATAGTAAATTTATATTTTACTGTACAGTATTCTATCCCACAATAGCAACTTCTGGATTTTATTGTCAATATACAGATCAATCATTTTTTAAATACAGATGCACACATTCAAAATGAGTGGGGTACACTGCGGTACAACGCGGTGGGCGTGTTGCAATATACCACAATTTACCGTATGCAAATTAGATTATGTTAATAGTATCCGGAATCACCTTGTAAAACCGGCAGGTGGAGCTAATAAAGCTTAACCTCTTCTGTACAGCATTTGAGCTGTCACCAGAAAACACTTAGTTTCGGATCCCGATCACTGCTGAGGGACACTCTTTATTCAATTAAGAATTTAAGTTGTATAAGCTTTAGACTTTTAAATTGAAACTGTGTATTACAGCATGTTAATAATTAAACTTTAAAAAGTCAATATATTTTCTAAAAGCAAGATTGCTCAGTTGGACAGAAGTACACAACTTACCACCTTT